TAGGTGAAGCATCAAGTTGTGCTGCGTGGGAGTATGATATAATGGAATTGTTGGTTCCCGTTTCGTTAGAAAATTGGGAACCCCTGTACACAAAGGTCCCCGCAGGTTGGTGTTGATATGTCGGTGTATTCATTCCTGTAGTATACATTTGAGATGAGAATTTGCGGAATTGGCATTTGTTTTCATAAACACAAACACTATATGTGTGAATTGGTACTCGTATGCGAGACTGTATGGGACGTCCTTACGGTACGACGGCTAAATTGATGCTGAAACATATTTGATGAATGAAAAAATGTCAATTATGGTAGGACTTGACCGATCTCAATAAAAAATTTTTGGGAGAAAGTATTATCTACAAAAATGTAAGACAATATGGCAGCGTTGACCTGAACAATCAACTAAAAGGCTGAATAGTTATTGGTCTCTCAGGAATATAGATTTGTATAAGAACAAATTAGAGTAAAATCTATAAATCGTTATCAAATTGATGATTCAGGTAAGAGAGGATAAATATGTGTAATAATAAATTTCATGTAAAACGTTATCATGAACATATGTCACGTTTGACACCATTCAATTTTCATTTGAAACATTTCCTTATGTATTAAGATATTTTGAGTAAATGAAATTAAGAGTGAATGAAGTTCATAAAATGCTGCTCTATTTGGAGAATTTTTGTAAGGTATTTCATATTTAGCGAAAAATTATTTCTTGATTCATCCTTAATAGCGTGAAATTTATAATGTACCTACTAATGTAATATGAATATTTCAGAAAATTAATTAAGTTTTCAGTATATTTTCCGAGATAATAGATTATTTAAGATCGACTCCTTTGATAAATTTTCTTTTGTGAAATGTAAATAATACCACAATTAATACAAAGCGAACATAAAAAAATTCGACTTTTTAATTCATGACCAATCTCAGTGTTTCTTACTTTGATTCTTTTGAAGAATCATGCTATGATAGTAGTAACATATAATAAAATATTTGGTACATCTTCTACTGATTACTTCATAAAAAATTTGAAAGTTAATCAATCCTGTTATAAGTAAACAGGACAAGAAAACTAAATATTTTACTTTCATCTTAGAGTAGTTCTTGTCGGGATCACAAAAATTTTCGGAATTCTCATATTGTAGCAATGCACACATTAAACATTAGGTTTCAAAGTACGTGGATCGAACGACCGAAATAGAAAAAGATTTAACAGCACCTTTGATGAACCAATTTACCGTTTCGATCTATTATTTTTGTCTTTCCACATTTTTTATATGACCATACGTTATTCTACCTGTTCTTGCACCATCGTCGATTACATATAATATAGATATACGGATGAATATCCACCCCACTTGGAAAAGGCAATACGAACTTTCTAATGTCAACCACTCTATAGGTGATATTTAGCACGTATAATCCAATTTGTGAGCGTCAACCAGAATTTCTAATCTAAATTCTATCCAGAGTTGGTCAGTAGTCAATTTCTTTGTAATCAATGTAATCATCAAACAATTTCTGAAGTCAATGTAATCGTAATAAAAGTAAATAAATAATAGTTAAAATAAATTAGTAATCCTGATTAATTTCTGCAATTTATAATCATGAAGTTGTTAATTTTCACGCATTTATTGAGAAATTTAAAGTATAAAATTGCACAAAGTGTATATAGTACGAAATAAATATATGAAACATTCTAGAAGTATACTGCCTTTTAGACATTTCATTTTCTATCCAGTTTCTGTTTTTTAACTACACTTCTGAAAATATGGTTTTGCATAAAATTTGCAGTCTAGTAATCATAGTCAAATTTATGTTTTATTTTAGGACCGTAATGTGTTTTTCTTCACATTGTCACTTAATACGTATTAATGTCGTGATATTAAATGTAACTAAATGTTAATGTTGAAAATTGTTTACTGTTTGAATAATATATTTTTTGCTGCATAATGGTTTCTGCTTAAAATGTATAATATGTTAACTGTCATAATTCTAATATATTTGGTACAAGACTCAATGCTCAATTATCACAATGAAAAATCTCATAATCCTGATAATTAGGTGAGTTTATCATTAAAATTCATCTTCATCAATATTGGAATATTGTGCTAATAAACAAATAAATGTTATACAAATGAGAGTTCCAATTATAGTTGTTGAATTATAGTTGAATTTAAATAAAAATACAGTTCAATATATGAATATAATTTAATCATTGTATTAATCCTTAAATATTTGGATAAAATCCTGAAAAAGATATTGTGCACATAGCAAAACAGTGTGAATGATAAATAAAAGCATTGTTGCTAGAAAGCATTGTTTGTTGACTCTCGACTGCGACAGTTCGAGATTATATATATAGAAATTCTCTTCCTCTTGATAATCCATCTTACAGATACTTCATGATTGAAACGGCGGACACTTCGATTTAACTTCAAAAATTTTACAAAATTTGAAAAGTCGCTTCTCTCTTATCACGAATATGCTTAATGTTTTTTTTGGAAAGAAGTGCCAATTTGTTTCTATTCAATTACTGCTGATTGATGACCGTAGCGAATCATTGTCGTTTGTGATTGAACAAAAACGTTCAATCTTCTAATTCGCTTTGTACAATGGCACGGGTACACTTTATTTCGAGTCCCGAGTATACAGACACATACGTAATTTTAACGTCTTTTAATTAACGTGAATTATATGTATACACTTCGGATGCGAGGCCGTTCGCACGACAAAAAGAATGCGATTTAAACGACAAAAAAGTCTACGTTGTTTTTTCTAGAAAATGCGATTTATTAAAGAATATGCACACTTTAAAAATATTATATCATGTATTGCTTATCATATTAAGTTTCCCAACTTTCACCAAAACTGACGGAAATTCGTGAGAATACTTGATTTACCCATTCTTTGGCGAAAGCATTGCCTTCTTTATTTTTTTATCGAAATTATAATATGACAATTTTAACAATACATATTGCACTCAGTTCCATATATCTTTAACCATAAACTAAAAAATACAATATCTAGAAGATAAAAGAACTAAATTAAAAAAATACAATTACGGAAGAAGACATCCACTTTCAACTAGGACAACTTAATGATCGCCTGGTAGATAAAATTTCTGGAGTTCAAATACTGGTTCAGTATTTGAGCGGCCGAATATTTTTTTTCTCTATAATAATAAGTAAGAACATAATATTTTTAACACGTACAATATGCACATATTGCTTTTGAGAATATTCAAAATTCAAACGCATACCGCTCTTCCTGCACCACTTTATAAAAATATAAGTTATAAAAACTAGCTAAAAATTTTATAAAAATACAAATTATAAAATATAACTACTATCATAATTTAGAATAAAAGACTAAAGTAAGTTAGATTTAGTTATTTTACAAGACAGGAGTGCAGGGAGACAGGGATTTTAAATTTTAAAGGTATATACTCACGCCGTTCGATTTTAAACTTTGCCGAAGACTATATTTACATATAAATTCAACAAATATTTTCGTTAAAAAAATATTATATTTTCGTTTATTAAAAAAAAAATATTGACTGGATGCTAGACCACAATTCGAATCCAGGTCATTCGTTTTCGAAAACGGATGCCTTTTCCCAAAATTATATTCTTTGTCTTTTGTTTTCTTTTTTTCTTTATGACAAACATACCGAAATACCAAAAATACAAAAATATTTTTCAATCTCTGCCGACTGATTTCTCGTTTTAATGATATATTATAATAAAGCATTGAAGGAAAAAAATAGACAAAATTCGAAAAAATCATGGATTATTTACCAAAGTGTTAAACTTACTACTCTTATTTTTTCAAATCCCAAAGTTATCAAAAGATACGACAAGATAGATCTCTTTATGCCTCAAATGAATAAAATGATATCAAATAATGTTGGGACAAATAATGCAGGGACAACATGGAACAGCTAGTTTACTCGTTTTCTAGCTTGTTGTCTAGCCTAGAGTGCTTGGCATCTTCTGGTTCAACAAATTGAAACCATCGCAAATAATGAACAGGAAGCGCTTAAGGCTGACACCCAAACTTCAGTCAGTGCTCGATGTTTGAATTGAGAGCAGTTTGTACTCAGATGCGTTTGATTTGAAGAGTGTATAAGTTTTGCGCACCAATCATCATCGTGCTCTTACTTTGGCAATAATAACTGAATCTTTGTGCATTGTTTTGATGAATAATTTCAAATTATATCAATAACTACAGTGTTAGAAATACAATATATACAATAATATGTCATTTAGAAGATTCAATGTATTCCAATAGAGTAAGTTTTAAGTGGAAGTTCGCAGTATTAAAAATGTTAAACTATATTTACTTACATTCACTTACAGGTAACAGCGCATAACAATAAAAAAGAAACTCTTAAAAATATGTTGTAAAATGTGAAATACTATATATCAAATATTTGATTGATAAAATATATTTTTACAACACTATGCACGAAAACTAATTAAGACTGAAATGTACAAGGCGAATACATCAATTGGCCTTTATATAATTAGAAATTAGATTAATTTGATCCAAAATAAGATTCTGCGTATTCAAATTCTATGTATGAAAGAGAGAAGGAAAACATCTTAGGGTAAGTTTTTATTTAAAGAATATGCTATAATTAAGGAAAATAAATGCTCGTATATCTTTCAATCTGAGTTAATTACTGCGTTGGACATATCCTAATTAATCAAACATTTGCTCTGTTTCAAATATTAATCTATTCGAAGAATCAAAGTTTGATGCAACTTGTTCAATTTGGACGAATCGTTTGAATGAACGTGTAATTTACGTGCATGAAAATGCGATTCATATTTGAAACCCTCGTTACAAATATTATATTTGTAAGAGTACAATTTTTGTATTCTATCCGGATAATGTTTTAACTTGTGATGATGATGAAGCTGATATAGTCCTGAAAACAATTTTTCACATATGGAACATAAATAATATTCCTTCGAGTAACATACATTATGTTCAATAAAGTGTTCGTATGAGTCGAAGAGCAAGTGACATATTACAGATCGGTTTATCTTCTGAATTATGGTTTAGCGCTGGTATAACATCCTGTTTATTATGGAAGTGTCCTACATGCATTCGAAGATTCTTTTTACTACGGAATCCTTGATTACAAAATTTGCAAAATAACATAAAGTCCTTCTTATACGATGGTGTATGAGTAGCAAGTACGTGTCGTTGCAATAATCTTTTAGTGGAAAATGCTGTACTGCAATAGTTACATTTGTTAGTGGCTGGTTGGCAATAGGTACGTTCGTGTATGCACAAATTCTGGAATATCTGGAACTGTATTCCACAAATTGTGCAAGGGAACTTCGTTTTCTCCACGTTAGCAATTTCGTAGCCCTTCACGCGTGCAATCCCATTAAACATCCTTGTTTGGATCGAGCAAAGATAATTATCGCTTTCTGAAACAGGCATACTTGAGGCCGAATTTTTCGAAGTTGCTGCCCCATTTAGAGCAGTCAACATGTTTTCTAACTCAGGTGTTTCTACTCTGCCGATTTTTTCATTACTCGATTTTTCAGGAGAAGAATTAAGTTCTACGCGAGATGTGTCCTGTTTATCACGTATTATGCACTTCAGTCGACCACACACTTTCCCGTGTTGCTCCAAACACGATTTCAGCCAAAATCGTTTGTGGCAACCTTTGCATTTGTGTCGTTTCTTAAACACATTGCAGTTTATTTCAACGTTGACAGGCAGAGTGTCCTTACTGGACCTTACAGTTTTCACACAATGCAAGATTATGTGTCGCTTCAATAAGGCTAACGAGTTGAAATTTTCGTAACACACGCAACATTTCTTTAGTTTAAACACTATATGTTGACGTATGTAATGACTTAATAACTTTTTCATGGTCGTGTAACGCGCATTGCATATACTCGACATATAGATTGAGTGAAACAATCTCACGTGTTCACGCCGGTTCTCCTTCAAAAAGAATGACTTCTTGCATATGTAACACTGAAATGTTTTCTGCTGACTAAGGTTCTTATTAGATTCCGCTAACATATTGCCCGAGTAATCTGACCTCATTAACGATACAACAGGTATTGTCACATTTTTACGTTCAGTAGAAAATATTTCATCATTGTGTCCATGGAATAAATGAGCTTGAAGTTGCTTATTGTAGCAAAAGCTTCGATTACAAAAATTACACTTGAATTTTTTTTTTCTCCCATAATTTCTACAATCATGCCTTATATGAAAAGTCAAAGAACATTGCCTATGGAAGGCTATAGAGCATTTATGACACTTGAACACAGAGGCATAATTTTTTTTATGTACTTCCAATGTTGCTTCTTTTTCAAAGGTTAAAAAACAAACATCACAAGTTAGTTTGCTTCCTCCAGCCAGTTTATGTTTATCATTTTCTTTATTAAAACCTGACTTGTTTTGTTTGTTATTTGATATATTTTGATTTGAATTGTTTTTTATTAAAGAAGCACTTTCTTCAGGGGACACAGATTTTTGATTTGGACAATTGTCGGTCAAAGAGTCATCTATTGTTTGATTTTTTTTATTCACGTTAACTGGTGACACATCATGACAGATTTGTGACTCTCCTTTTATTCCATGTTTGGAGGACTGAAAAATAAACATAAATAACCGAATGTAACATCCTAAGGAACAAGAAATTTATGAAACTGTTCTAATCTAATTGAAATTTATTATACGATAAATGTAACTATTAAAATTATGTTCACAACTAGACAGTATGTTTAGAAGTAAACACCACTTAAAAGAACATAACTTGTACTAAGTCATCTGGCAGAGATGTGATAAATTCAGGCCATTTAAGGATAATTACAAAAGAAAAGGCAAAGAGAAATGTTCTAAAACTAATCATGAAAAAGTCTATATGAATCTACATGAAAATAATTAAGAATAATAATAAGCTTGGTAATTTTTGTATAAAGATATTCTTGTATGCCAATCATATTTGGTTTTGTATATATTACTTATATGATCATTATTTCAAAAATTAAGTTCAAAATTATGATAGGATTCGAAGTAGAGATAGAGATCAATTTTGTATAAATATACAGTTCTATTATAATTGCTAAGAAAGTTTTCCTAGGCGCCCAATATCTTCTTCACGAGTCGATATTGCAGTAACCGTGAGAAAATCTTGGTCAATACATGAATAAAGTCCCATGTACAATCATTGTAGGCCCTTAGCATAGTATATGAGATAAAAATTTCGATTCTATCCAATAAGCATTGCATCGCGTGGTATCAGGCGCGTATACATAGCGTGAGATTCATCAAACATATTGCAAAGCTCAATATTAGGGCTCGAAACTAATTTTTAAATTCTCGAAATTCAAATTCCAAATGGCATGATTCTACTATAAAATTCTATGAAAAATTCTATAAATATTCTATGAAAAAATAAACCGAGAAGAAAGAATAAAATTTTTTTCTAAGATTCTTCGTTTTTGAGTTTACAATTTACCATGTGTACCAAGGCAATTTTTGAAGAAAAATATTCAAAGCCTATTTTCTTCAAAACAAAGCTTTAAATGAAAAAATTTAATTTTACATTTTTAATTTATTTTTGCACATGGAATATGCAATCTTTTTTTTTGTTATCCAGTATCAGCCAAATATGCTTGATATATTTCAAACGATAAATTTTCACACTACACATCTTACAAAAAAATTTTATTCCTCATTTTCAACTTTATTCATATTTTTTCATGAAAAATCAATCCTTCCTCACTTGTGCTACCAATGGACATCCTATTTTATTAATGTAGTTGATAAGATACAGATAATGAAGATTCCACAATATGTCAATAATTTATGTTAATGCCACATAAATCATAATTAAATATGAACATTCTGAAAATCTATTCTATAAACATTAATAACAAAAAATAATAACAGAAATAATAAACATACAATAAGCTAAATAATAACATATAAATGAAAATTACTTGTAACTTATAAAATTACAATATCAAAAAATGTGTATGAAATTCAATAATGAAGCTGTAACTTAGTCTTATAAATTAATTAATAAAAAGGAACAATTAAATACAATTATTAATAATAAACTAAAGTTATAATTTTGTCAGATTTTCTTAATTATTTTGATATTTTCAATCTATGAATTAAGGAACCATAACACAAAAAGTATTGGTCAAATCATAAGTAAAAAAAA